CTAACTGATTTCTGTGGAATCTGCCTGATGGTGTAAAGTGCGGACTCTTAGACTGAGACTGGACATGGGAAAATCAGATTTGACTTTCAGCTAAAGTTCCTTGTCATTTTATACACATTTTATTTATTTATTTAATTTATACTTTCTTCCAATATGGGACCCAAAGTGGCCTTTGATAAATTGCTCTCCCGCTGTGAAATTTATTTCTGGGCTAGTCTACACATAAGTGTATTATGCAAATTGCTGCAGATTTTCACACATTCACATCAATGATTGTCTTCACTGTCCTGCAAAAAAATTGCATCTTTTCGCATCTGTTCATCCTTCCTCTTCTGAAAATGCAGATCCATGCAAAATATATGGACAGTCCACATGCATGATAATGCACTTTTCTGCAGATTTCCACATATACTCTGAAAAGATCTGTGAAGCCTTTTTCTGCTGAGTTTAAGGAGGTTTTTTTGGGGGGGGCACAAAAAACCCAAAACTTCTGTGAATTGCATTTGGCCAGATCTCTTTCTATTCCAATTGAATGAGGGTGATTTTAATTGAGTGACAACTCCCCAAGCATTGTATCTACAGTTAAATGCTGCTCTTTATATGATAGAAATGTAAGTGGCCAACTAACATACTCAAAATTAGTCTGGTAAATCAGTATGCAAAGGGATCTTGGAGCGCCTTTGAAACTAACTGAAAGATAGAAGTTGGTAGCATGAACTTTTGTATGTCTACAAAAGCTTGTGCTACCAACTTCTATCTTTCAGTTAGTTTCAAAGGCGCTCCAAGATCCCTTTGCATATGAACATAATCAAATTAGTCTTTTATTTATTTATTTATTTAATGTATTTCCACTTTCCACCATTAATGGGACCCAAGGCAGCTGACAGTAAAAGATTGCGACCTGTTCCCTTAGGCTCAAAACATAGGGGGGAGTTGTGTATTGCCTCTGAGGATGTGCAGAATGCCTCCCTCTTGTCACCGCAGCCATTTCATTGCACTGCATAGTGTCTCATCATATGAGATAGCTACAGATTTAAAGGGGAAATATTTTGCCCATGCCCACAGGCAATCCACAACTTCTTCCCATTTTCTCAGCCTTCGATTGACTCATATAATGTTGTCAGGACTGAAGGGGTCACACCAACTTCAATGTTGATGGTACAAATTCATAGCAAAATTGTGTATTGCCATAGCTCCATGTAACCCACCCAAAACAATTTCTTGGACCTCTGTCACATTGCTCTCAATGGCTCTTGGGGAAAGTGTGTAATTGGAGCACTTAGCAGACAGTAACAATGCTGGCTCCTGTGGGTTGTAAAGGAAGCCTAGTGCGTTGTGCCTCATTGGCTTGATCAAATATAATTTCCTTGCTGTCCTCCCTTCCTCGTCTTCCTTCCTTCCTTAGCTTGGCTCTAAAACAAGTACATGATAGGCCTCTCATGTGGAAAGGTGCAGCCAAGCAAAGGAGAGATTTAATCTGTTGTTACCTTCATGCCTGTGCTACGTCTAGCAATAGAGAGTGGCCATGGGAAACTAAGCAGGGTTATTCCTGGTTAGTACTTGGATGGGAGACCACCAGTGAATACAAATCCACCTCTGAATATTCCTTGATTAAGAAAAACCTATGAAATGGGGTCGTCATAAGTCAACAGGCGACTTGGAAGATCAAGCACATATGGGGGAAAGTGTTCTTAGGAAGGGCCATGGATTCATGGGAGAAATAAGAAGGTTTGTACAACTCATTGTTGTATAGTTTGGGAGTCAGGTACCTTTGGCATCTGCCTAAATACCCTAAAGTCATCAGATTCTGTCTGATTGTGGAAGCTAAGCAGGGTTACCCTGGTTAGTATTTGGATGGGAGACTGCTAATGAATATCAGGTGCTGCAGGCTATATTTCAGAGGAAGGAACTGGCAAAACCACCTCTGAGTATTCCTTGCCTAAGAAAACCCTATGAAATTCATGGGGTCACCATAAGTCAAGAGGTGATACACACACACACACCCCTTTGCCACCCTAAATTCAACCTGTTTGTTACTACTGGCCATGCTGATTGGGGATAGGGGAATCTGTAGTTCAAAAACTTAGGGAATTCCATAGGGTCCCTATTGCTTGGCATGGATCAGGAAACAGAAACATGGACCCTCCCTATGTTATTGTATTGCAATTGTCCTGAAGAGCCAACATGAGCATTGGATTTTGACTCTGGAGACGAGGGTTTGACTCCCTGCTCAGCCATAAAACCCAGTGTGACCCTGGACAAGTCACACTCTCTCGGCCTCAGAGGAAAGCAAAGACAAAAGCCCTCTGAATAAATCTGAATAATAAAAACAAACAAACCTCACAACAAAACCCTTTGATAAGTTCACCTTAGGGTTCCCAAGAGTATGAAACAACTTGGAGACACACAACAAACTGCTCAGATCCCTCTCTATTAGCTCTGATGGCTGGCAGCTCCCATGTCTGTGGCTCTGGTTTATAGTCTTAAGATTTAAAAAGCTGTCCAAGGTGCTGAATCTATTTTGGGGGTTGGGGTTCAGCAAGTGGGATAACTTTTTAAAAGTTCATTCTAAAACTCTGTTTCACTGCCATGTTGATGTGGGAACCCCTAGGTGCCATGAAACAGCAATCTAAGGTGCACATAAAACCCACAGTTGGTGGTTGTTGTTTGCCTTCAAGTTGTTTCTAACTTAGGGTCATTGGATCATAAGGTTTTCATGGCAAGATTTGTTCAGAGGAGGTTTACCATGGCCTTCCTATGAGGCTGTGAGAGTGTGGCTCACCCAAGGTCAACCAGTGGGTTTCCAAGGCTGAGTGAGGATTTGAAACCAGGTCTTTCAGAGTCCCAGTCCAAGACTTAAAATCCTACACTGCATTTGTTAAAAACCCCATAAAAACTGAGCATGCTGAATTGTTTAACCATGGAATACTGGGAGCCAAAAAAGAAGGAGAGCAGTTCAACATGTTTTATTCAAAGCCAACAAGGATTTGATTTTGCACATGCTCACGAAGAGAATCTGGAGGCAGCCCTCCACCACTATCCTCCCAATGCTAAAGCTGCTAAAAAGCTTCCTACTAGACAGGAGTTGAGGATAAAAGGATGGGTCCGAGTAGGTATAAAAAGACTGTAAAAGGGAGCTTTACCATCAGAAACTTTGTTAAATGAAGTATGCCTGTATACTGACTTTCCCACCGAAACATAATTCCTGCAGCCCACACAAATATATTCATATTTAAGTACTGTACTTTCTTGAAGAGGTCATCATCTCATCAGGAAATTCGATTGTCCATTGAACATTGTAACTTAAATGCTAAATGTGCAAATATTGGCTGTGAGTAGGGCCAGCGTGGTGTAGTGGTTAGAGCGGTGGACTATGACTGAATCCAGCTCAGCCTTAGAACCCCACTGGGTGACCTTGGGCAAGTTGCACTCTCTCAGCCTCAGAGAATGGCAATGGCAAACCCTATCTGAAGAAACTTGCCAAGAGAACCCAATAATAGGTTCCACCTTATGGTCACCATAAGCCAGAAATAACTTGAAGGCACACAACAACAAACTCAGTGAAAATGAAAAGCCTCTCTGTATATGCAGGGAAATACTTTCAGCATCGTAACAATCCTCTTTACCCACCCACTAAACATGCAGTCTGAAACTAGACGTCCTTTAACCCCAACTAAATGGTGATGGAGATTCACTCTGTACATGCTCAGAAGCCCCTGATCATCCCACAAGAGTTATCCTTATGCTGGAAACATAGGCTGGAACTGAGCCTTGGTGACTGAATGGTGGGATAAAGTTGTGCTCCTCTGCATTCCTGCACTAGCTTTTGAAATGTCCTTCCCTGGAGAAAACCTGAACTGCCCTTGCTCAGAGGAAGCAATTGAGCCATTATTAGTGGGCAAGTGGGAGAAATTAAAGGCAAGTCCTTTGAAAGGCAGCTTGCAGGAAATGAGACTGCAGGGCTCATTGACAGGTTAGCTTGCTGGGGCCTTGGGGATATAAAGCATCCCTATTAAAGCAAGCGGAAAAACACACTGGGGAGGAAGGTAGTACCGGCTGTTACATAAAACCAGATCCTCAGCATGTTTCTTAAGAAAAGCAGCTTGGAAACTTCATCGTTCAGAGCTGCAAAGCCCAGAATCCCCCAGCTAATCTACCTGGGAGAAGCAAGGTCTACCCCTGTCAATGGGACTTACAGTGTGCCTGGACGCCCGTGAATCAAAACAAACATTGCCTCTAACTCTGCACTTAAAAATATAGGAAGATTTATACTGATCCAAACCACTGGTCCATCTAGTTCACAAATGGGGAAAGTATTGCTGCACATGTGGCTCCTGAAACCCTGCAAAGTCCCTAGACCCACCTTTTAAAGAGAAAAAAAAAACCCAAACCCTAAATTTCAGGTGATTTCCCTCCTTGAAAACCAGCCAAAGACATTCCAAGACACTTCAACCACTTGCCCAGGGCCCTGAACAAAGAAAGGGATTGTCCAAAATGGCAGCCAGAAATGATGTTATTTAATTTCCAACATGCTGAAACACAACAGTGTGCGTATGTGTCTCTGGGGAAGAATGGTTCCCACACCTGATTCAGTGCATTACTGTGGAGCCATGTGGAGATGGTAGGACTTGAACCTGGGACCTTTTGCATCCAAAGCACACATCCTACCACTGAGCATTTATGTATGTATGTATGTATGTATGTATGTATGTATGTATTTATATCTCACTTCCCCCCCGCCCAAAATTGGGACACAAGACAGATTACAATATAAACCAGTACAATTAAAAACATACAAAAGTGCATATTAAAATAGAATCTAACTTGTTGTTGTGTACCTTCAAGTTGTTTCCGACTTAGGGTGACCTTAAGGCAAACCTATCATGTTGTGGGTTTGTTTTGTTTTTTGTTTTGGCAAGATTTTTTCAGAGGAGATTTGCCATTGCCTTCCCCTGAGGCTGAGAGAGCGTGACTTGCACAAGGTTATGCACTGGGATTCATGGCCCAGCTGGGAATCGGACCCTGCTCTCCAGAGTTGTAGTCTAACACTCCAACCACTACGCCACAATGGCTCAGAATTTAACTAGTACAATATTAAAACATCATTCATTAAAAGAATAACATCCAATAAATAATATTTTAAAAACCAGTTAAAACATTAAAACAGCTAAAAATATTAAAACACATTAAAACAATAAAGTAAAACTACATACCTACCCTTAAAACTTCAAAAATCAGCACCACACAGCATAAAGAGCCCAACCTCAATGATTTGGGAAGGATTAGGAGCACAAAAATGTTTTACTTTGCCTCCAGAAGGACAGCAAGGATGGGGTCATTTTGGCCTTTTTGGGGAAGGAATTCCAAAGTCTGGGAGCAGCCACCAAGAAGGCCCTTTCCCTTGTTCCATTAAATGAGCCTGAGAAGGTAGTAGCACAGAGACGAAGGCCTCTCCGGATGTTCTTCAAACCCTAATGGTTTTAAACAGGGAGATACGGTCTTTCAAATATGACCTCTCCCATACCCTTAACTGGTGGAAACCTTGTTTATTTGTTGGCTTCAAAGTATTGGCTACTAGGAAAGTTTGTCAGGTTAGGGGTAGGAGAGAAACCAACTAGAAAAGGTGACGTCAGGAGTGTCAAGGTGATATGTTGTTGGTCTTGTGTGCCTTTATGTTGTTTCTGACTTATGGAGATCCTAAGGCAAACACATTATAAGGCCAAGTTTGTTCAAAGGGGTTGCCATTGCCTTCCTCTGAGGTTGAGAGAGTGTGACTTGCTCAAGGACACTGAGTGAGTTTCCACCTCTGAGTGGAGATGCAAACCCTGGTCTCCCAGAGTCTTAGTCCAACACTCAAACCACTATACAATGCTGGATCTAGGTCAGATGTTGTACTATAAGTTGCAGCAGTCCTAGTCACCATAGGTAGGGTAATGGTAAGGAATGCTGGGAGTTGCAGTCTAACAAAATTTTGAGGGCTACATGATTCCCACCTCTGCTCTAGGTCTCATGTATAATCTAGGATCCCTGCAATGACATTTTCAGAAGGAAACAGTTCCACAACATGGGAAGATCGTTTTTTTGAACAACTTTTCAAATCTCCCAGATTGGTGGGGAGGAATGCTGGGCATTGCAGGGCAACCACATTTGGAGGACACCATGTAACTATCGACAGCACCTTGGACTTCTTGTTGTTCTGTGTCTTCAAGTCGTTTCCAGCTTATAGTAACCCTAAGGTTATGATGGGGTTTTCTTGGCAAGTTCCTTCAGAGGGGGTTTGCCATTGCCATCCTCTGAGGCTGAGACAGTGTAACTTGCCCAAGGTCACCCAGTGGGTTTACATGACCGAACCAGGATTTGAACCCTGGTCTCTAGAGTCCTAGTCCAATGTTCAGACTGCTACACCATGCTGGCTCTTGGACTGTGACACTAGAATTTATAAAGGAGCAGTTAAGCCGCTCCAGGCTTTAGTTCGAACTTTGAAGGTGCTCAAGATAATGAACCTAATTGGAGCTTTTAACATTTTATTTGAAACAGCTCCCCAGCAAAATACTGTTGCCACTTCAGCCCTTTAGCAGCAATGGAATTTATCTGGCTAATAAATTTAATGATCAATTCATTCCTGCCAGTGTGGCACTTCCCACAAATTAATTATTGCAAATTTAAATATAATCACCGGCTCATCGTGGTCAAGGCAGGTTGAAGCTTGCCCTCCTTGCCCACCAGCACCATGAATCATAGAATCATAGAATCATAGAGTTGGAAGAGACTACAAGGGCCATCCAGTCCAACCGCCTGCCATGCAGGAACTCCCAATTAAAGCATCCCCGACAGATGGCCATCCAGCCTCTGCTTAAAGACCTCCAAGGAAGGCCATGAATTACCACCAGGGGCTGGCGACTGGGCCTTGAGGCTTCCATGCCAGAAGAAAACTTTCACGTGTCCGCACTGCAGAAATAATCCAGTTTGACACCACTTTAACTGCTCAGTGCTATGGAATTCTGAGAAGTGCAGTTTTAACAAGATGTTTAGCCTTCTCTATCAGAGAGCTCTGGTACCACAACAGACTACAATTCCCAGAATTCTATAGCATTGAGCCATGGCAGTAAAAGTGGTGTAAAACTGAATTATTTATGCAGTGTGGATGCAGCCTTCTTAATTGCTCTCTGCATGGATTTGCTATCATCCAACCTTGTTGCTTTTGCCCTGCAGCCCCCTATCTATATGCCTCCCTTGAAAACCAATGCACAATTTAAGAAGGGAGCTGGAATTGTAGCAATGGCCTACCTTGCAGGGTTGTTGTACAGTGAAAGGAGCAAAAGATCCCTGAGGTCAGCTGCTCTTCTCAGACAGATTAATCCAAAATAAATCCCATTTGGATAGTGTGGATGAGAACATGCACAATCATGTCACAAGCTGTAACTTTTAGCCAATTGCCACACTTCAGAAATAAAGCAGTTTGGCACTGCTTTAACTGCTGTGACTCCATGCTATGGAATCCTGGGATTTGTAGTTTTGTGAGATATTACACTTCCCAGTCAGAAAGCACTGGTGCCCCACCAAACTACAAATCCCAGGATACCATAGCATTGCACCTTGGAAGTTAAAGTGCTGTCAAACTGCTTTATTTCTACAATGTCGATGGGATTTACTTCTCATGAAACGTGGATGGGGTATAAGACAGGTAGTGCTGAACCTTTCAAAAATAGGATGGTAATGATGCTACCAACTATTATTATTCACCTGCTTTCTTCCCCTAGTAGAGATCCTAAGAGTAAACAAGGTTTCAAAGACTACATTTCAAAGAATTCTTAAGATCCCTCTCCAAAAACTGTATTTTAGCAAAGGCCCCTAAACAAACTCTGTGTAAATAGAGTTGCCATCATCTTTGAAGGATCATGTTCCTGTGTCTTTTACAGAATTCAGAAAGATACATTTTCTGCCCCGGAATGAAAAGAAATAGAGAACCCCTAAGTGGTTTTAACTTAAGGTACAGGAACAGAATGAATTAAAAATGTTGGCAACCCTATATCAAAACCAACCAGTGGTTATTTTGCAATAAGTCTTGACCTTCTGCCTGTTTTTCTTTCTTTTTAAAGTTGCCAGATGCTCCTGTGACTCTAAGAGCAAGGGTTGTATCTAGGCTGGAATGTATGCACTGACCCACTGAAATAAAAGGGATTCAAGTGAATGACTAATTTAGATCTTGTCCATTTCAATGGGACTATTCCAAATGTGCAAAGGGATCTAGTAGGAACTAGATCCCTTTGCATATTTTCCAGACTAACACTGCTGTGTCTTTGTATTCTAAGTGTGACTTAACATAGATCCAACCTATTAGCAGGTAATAAACTTTATATGTAGACTTTCCTGTCGGTGGAGTTGTTGTTGCATGCCTTCAAGTTGTTTCTGATTTATGGCAACACTAAGGCAAATCTTTTACTGGATTTTCTGGGGCTGAGAGTGTGTGAGCTGCTCAAGGTCACCCAGCAGGTTTCCATGGCCAAGCGGGAAATCAAACCCTGATCTCCAGGGTCCTAGTTCTATGCTCAAATCGCTATGCCACATTGATGGAGACCAGGGTTTAAATCCCTGCTTGGCCATGGAAAACCACTGAGCGCCCTTGAACAAGTCACACTCTCTCAGCCTCAGAGGGTTGGCAAAACCCCTCTGAACAAATCTTGCCAAGAAAACCATGTGATAGGTTCACCTTAGGGTTGCCATAAATTGGAAAAGGACATGAAGGCACACAACAACAAAGGCACAGGAGCAGATCAGGCAGGGTTGTCAGTTGGCAACCTCATGTACAAGCTGCCTAGAGACTGCGGTGAAGAAGTGTCCCATAAATATGATTTTTATTTCTAACAGGGTTCCTGTTATCTCTCCGATTAAGGCACAATTGTGGGTGCTCAGTTGTGATTTGGGACCGTAAATGAGAGGCTTAGCAGGCCGGAGCAAAACTCCGCTGGCTCATTGTGCCTTTGCAATGGCCCTGATGCTTTTTAAAGCCCTCTGAACGTGTCCCAAGAATGCTTTCAGCCTGCCAGACTTCTAAGGTCAATATGGTTTTCAGCTCCCACATTTTATGGGCGGATTAAACTTTATTTTCCATAATAGGGCACCTCATAAAATGGCATCAAGCCCTCTCCTTCTGAGCAGCTGGCGGCCTCCTTTCGCACTTTCACTTCGTAAATCACTGCCTGGGCTGGCCAGGTGTTTCCAGAAAGTGGGAAGTAAACAAATGCCCAGAAATGCCAAAGATGAGGGAGAAAGATGGAACAGGAGGTTTATTTGGTTTGTGGGTGTGTGAACTATGTGGGGTGGAGGGGGAAAGAAGGTCATCAAAGGGGCTGTGCTGATAGGAGTGCTTGTGCAGGTTTTCCTCTGAATAAATCTTTTCAAAAGAGTTAGCCGGTGGGGCATTCTTGTCCCTCCCAAAATTTGAAATCAAAAGGGTCCGAGCGATTGCGGTGGACCTTATTAACACATGGAACCTTGAAGAGGCCTTTGGGGTTGAACAAAAGCTGCTTATTCTTCATAAGCACACAGACAACAGCTGGGGAGGTAGTGTTTCCCTCCAAGTGGTGAGGAGAAGGAATCATATTATTGGAAGAGATCCCCAAGGGTCATCCAGTCCAACCCTCTGCCATGCAGGAATACACAATTAAAGCACTCCCAATAGACGCCCGTTTATCCAATTTGGTCGGTCCATGAGTTGCCCACCTGTACCGCTGGCCACATTGTGTATTTATGTTTGTTTGTGTGTGTTTTCTTTGTGATGCTTCTGTGCTTTGTGCAGCTGCTTGGAGTCAGATGCAGGAGTGAACCTTTCCTTGCACGAAGTTCCTGGAATGAGGATCCAGTGGGGAAAAGATCTAGAAAAACAGAGGGCTGCCTTTGGTGCCTGTTCATAAACTTCAGTGGGTCTAAAATGCTGCAACCAAGTTGCTGACTGGGACAGAGTATAGATAACATATACATCCCTCACAGGAATAGCTTTGTTGGCTATCAGTCCATTTCTGGGCAGAGTTCAAACTTTTCGGAACTTTGCAGACTGCCAGAAATAGTGCAA